TTGATTACTTTCTCGTTAAGCTTTCTGTAGTCCACTACCATCCTCCATTTTCTCTCTCCCAATGCATCCTTCTTCTTTGGCACTAGCCAAACCGGAGCACTCCATTGTGAATGGCTATGTCTAATAATTTTCTGATCCAGTAGTTTATCCAACTGTTTCCTTATCTCTTGCCTTTCCTTAAATGCATATCTGTACGGCCTAACGTATATCGGGATGTCGTCCTTCGTTCTTATTTGATGTTTGACCGCATTCGTGAAATACAAGTTATCCCCTTCCCTATGAAACACCTTGGGGTATTTTTTACAAATCCGATTCGGGTTTTGGCCGACCTCAGCGTCTCCCTCCAGGCGCCTCTGCTTCTCGCGCGCCTCCTCCAATCGGAAATTCCCAGTGCAGTTAGGTTCTCCTCCACTTGGTCCTTCCATCGGAGCTTTGGTCGTCCTCTTCGTCGTCGCCCGTAGTCGACCCTCGCTTCAAACACCTTCTGAGCTGGAGATTCTTTATCCATACGCACAACGTGGCCGAGCCAGCGCAGACGTTGTATCGTGATGCGCCGGACCACGTCCACGTCGTCGTACAACTCGTACAGCTCGTGGTTCATCCGAATGCGAAAGTCGTCCCCAATCCGAACGGGACCAAAGATCTTGCGAAGAATTTTTCTCTCGAACACTCCAAGCGCTGCTGCATCCGTCAGTGATAATACCCATGCTTCTGCGCCATATAAAAGCACGGGTAGGATGAGTGTCTTGTAGAGTGTTAGTTTTGTTCGGCGAGAGAGGTCTCTATTGCACATTTGCTTACTCAAACCAAAGTAGCACCTATTGGCCAGTGTGATTCTTCGCTTGATCTCCAGGCTGACGTCATTTTCGGTGTTAATGGCAGTGCCAAGGTACGTGAACTCCTTGACCCAGTGGCGTAACTATACCCTCTGGGGCCCGTGGCAAATTTTTTTGATGGGGCCCTGTCATTTTATTAAACCCTTTAAGTAGTTATCGGACACTGTATACATTTATATAGATACAGAACTTAAAATATTAATATTTATATTATCAATTCAAATAAAATACACTCGTTCTTACAACACATAGAACATAAAAAAACTGAGCTAGCAGCCTCCTGAGCCGGGGCCCTCTTGGGTCGGGGGCCCGTGGCATTTGGCCACCTCTGCCACCCTATAGTTACGCCACTGCCTTGACCACTTCGAAGGTATAGCTGTCCGCTACTACATGGGAGTCTAGGCGCCGCGCCTCCCTGCTTGTAGACAGCATATACTTCGTCTTGCCCTCGTTTACCGATAAACCCACTTTTGCCGACCCTTTTTCGATAGCCGAAAATGCAGCAGTGACATCACGCTTGCTGCGGCCAATGATGTCAATATCATTGGCATACGCAAGGAGCTGGACACTTTTATAAAAAATTGTGCCAGATCGATGTACACCGGCTTTCCGCAGTACCCCTTCCATCACGAAGTTGAAGAGATCGCACGACAGGGGGTCGCCTTGTCTGAAACCTCGAACGGTATTAAAAGGTACGGAGAGGTTCGTTCCTACCTTGACAGAGCTGATGGTACTGCTCAATGTCATTCTGCAAAGCCGTATTAGCTTTGCAGGAATACCGAACTCAGACATGGTGGCATATAGGCGTTTCCTCGTCGGGCTATCGAATGCAGCTTTATAATCGACAAAGAGATGGTGTGTGTCGATGTTATTCTCGTGGGTTTTTTCCAGGATTTGGCGTAATGTGAAGATCAGGTCTATGCTGGACTTACCAGGTCTGAAGCCGCACTGATAAGGTCCAATCAGTGTGCTGGTATACGGCTTCAGTCGTTCACATATTACGCTCGATAGGACCTTGTATGAGATGGTAATCAGGCTGATTCCCAGGTAGTTGGCGCATATCGTCGGGTCACCTTTCTTTAGTACAGGACAAAGGACGCTGAGATTCCAATCGTTGGGCATGCTTTCTTCTAGCATATTTTGTACAGGAGCTGATGCATGCACCTTATCAGCTCTTCGCCGCCGGCCTTAAACAACTCTGCAGGCAGTCCATCAGCACCAGCTGCTTTGTTGTTTTTGAGCCGCGTTATAGCAACTCGGACCTCGTCATGGCAAGGTAGTGGTATATCCACATTGTCGTCGATTGGTGGTATAGGGCTGCTTCCTCCAATGGCGGGATTGTTGCCATCATCGCCTGCTAGCAGCTTGGAGAAATGCTCCCTCCATTACCTCAGCGTGCACTGCGTATCCGTAACCAGATTTCCATTTTCATCCCGACAGTTAGATGCTCCGGTCTTGTGTCGTCAAGCTTTCGTTGCGTGATGGGGCGTATGTTTTTCGCGCGGCATAGCCGCATGCGTATCTTGGTTGCGACAAGATAGTGGTCCGAGTCAATGTTGACTCCACGAAACGTACGCACGTCCATCACACTTGAATCATGCCTTCCGTCTATCACAACGTAATCAATCTGGTTGCGCGTCTTTTGATCAGGGGACAGCCATGTGGCCTTGTGGATGTTGAGGTGCCGAAATCTGGTGCTACTCACTACCATGTTTCCCGCCGCGGCGAAGTCAATCAGCCTGAGACCGTTGTTCGAGGTGGTCTCATGGAGGCTGAATTGACCGACGCACAGTGGGCGATTTGGTCTCGCTAGCGGCATTTAATTCAAATTTCAACTTTCAAAAAGCGATGATTTTTTTCACAATTCGATAATAGATACTTTGATTAAATTTATCCAAGCATTTTAAAAGCTCTCAATGAGCTGATCATCAGCTGTGAACGGACAAACACAGAAAATGATTTTGCAAAGAACTTTACAAAATTTTACCTGTTTGCGCGCATCGAATTCAAGTTCCTCGGAAATTTACAATTATTAGTGAATTTATTAAAAGTTTGGTTTTTTATTAATTTCAAGGTATGCATTACAAAAAAAAATTAATGTTTGTGACCGGTCTATAAATGTGTAGCTCATAAAACGTAGTGGCAATTCAGTGTATTAACAACGAGCCCAGATTAGCGTACACCTGTCTTTCGTGGAGAAGAACTTACCTGATTCAAGTGGATTCAGTCTAACTCTTTTATTAGCCGAAAGTGTGAATCAGTGGCGTCCAATGTGTGTAATATGAACTGCTAGTGCCTGCTAGCCTTCAAACTATGGTACTTTTAAGGCACAATGTCAGTAGCAAAAAGGGTTCTTTTTTAGTATATTTTAGTATTTTTACTATGCCGCCGTCTGATTCCGATGATTCTGAATAAAATTCTAGCCATTTTTAAATTATGTTTGCTTATGGAATATATTAATTGAAGTTAAAAAAAAATAAAAATGAATCAAAATTTAAAATTAAAAAATATTTTTTTTTTTAATTAAAAAAAAAAAAAAAAAGTATTAAAAAAAACACTTTTTTTTAACTTAAAAAATTGTATGATTTTTCTTTGATCGGTGAAAAAAAACCGACTGAAGATATCTATTTTAGCTTAGAAGTTATTAATTAAATGCCGCTAGCGAGACCAAATCGCCCACTGTGCGACGGTGGGGTAAAAGATGCGTTCGCGCCCGACCTTTGCGTTGAAGTCCCCGAGGATAATCTTCACGTCGTGGTCTGGGCAGCGGTCGTATGTGTCCTCGAGTCTCGCGTAGAATGCATCCTTTACAGCATCGTCCTTCTCCTCCGTCGGGGCGTGCGCGCAAATTATGCTTAGATTGAAAAACCTAGCTTTGACGCGGATTGTAGCCAGTCGTTCACTCACTGGGGTGAAGTTGGAGACGTGGTGGCGAAGTCTCCGGCTTACTACAAATCCGCATCCAAATTCGCGCCTCTCCGCATGGCAGCTGTAGTAGATATCGCAGTTTGCTCGCTTGGATCAACCTTGTCCTGTCCATCTCATTTCCTGGATGGCGGTAATGTCAGCCTTTAATTTTTCGAGGGCATCCGCCAGTTGGATAGAGGCACCTTCCCAATTAAGGGTTCGGACATTCCAGGTGCATATCCTTAAATCGTAGTCCTTTTTCGTTTTGCGGTGGTCGTCAACATAAGGGGGGATCCTATCCGAGGCTTTCGCTTTGGTCTTCACTGGGCTTCTTTTTTTACGAGGCGGGTTCCAAACCCTGCGCTCAACCCTTTAACGTCCGGGTGACATCGCTGCACACATTAGCTCACTATCTAGCGGATGCTAAGATAGCTACCCAGGAGGTGCCACGAGGAGGCTGTGTGTCAACTTGCAATCATTCGAAAACAGAGATCGCACTGGCGGCCACCAAGTTGACCGCGATCAGAAAACTTTACTCTGTACGAATGAAAGCCATCCCATTCCATCTATTCCAATTAGTCCTTCAAAAAACTGGTGAAATTTGAATAGTAGCATTCTTATCTCCCCTACTCCTCCCAGTTCTTTGAACATTGGAAAAAATGCTTCTCTCAAAATTTTGTGGGATTGTGTAATTGTTTTAATGTTTATTGGCTCCCGTAATTCTCTTATATATTGTCTTTGTACCAATTCAGGCCGGATAAACGAAAAAGTGGATCCTGTATCAATTAATATCTTAACTATTTTTCCCGAGGTATTTCTGATCTTCAAATACGGTAGAGTGGAGTGACCTTTCCTCGTCCCTAGATATCCTGTTGGTTGTTCGAGGCTAGTTGTTGAAAATTTCCATCCTCTTGGATGTTGTGAAGCTGTCCACCGGTTGTCGGTCTGTTTTTCCCCTCTATTTGGAAAAATTAGACTGTCTGGAATTGTTCCAGCTATATGATTGCCCTGAATAGTTGGAATTCCCGGACATCCTCGATTGACCACTACCTTGCGTGTCCTTTGGTGCCTGAATTGCTAACTGGCTTCCTCCTCTGGGCTTGTTATTATTGTAATTATAATCATTGTTCCATTGTCTGTCTCGATTTTGCTGACCATAATTCCATTTAGAATTTCTATTCTGGTAATTTCGGTACTGCCTTGGGTACATGGCTGTGTCTCCTTGACCAAAATTGTTTGGCCCAAATGAATTGCCCATCATCGGGTACGAAAAACCGAGTCCTGGCCATCCGGCTTCTCTCCCCTGAGTATCATCCACCGTTCGGAGGCTTTATTTTGGTTGACAAGGGCTTTCTTCAGGGCCATCACTTTCGTGTATAAGGTGTCTAAGTCCAATTTCTTTTTGTTTAGGTGAGATAACTCCATAATTAGGTCTTGTTCCGACCTTTTGTCCTTAAAATGTGTTGTTAACGTTTCCTTGATACGGTCCCAATTCAATTCAGACTCATCTAGATCTAGGACCCTGTCTGCTGCTCCTATGATCCTGCTCCTAATGGCCCTCAATGCTATAAGTCCTACATTTGACCTTTCTTCCCCTTTTATAAGACCAAGCACCTGCTCCACCGCTGCTATAAATCCATTTAATTTCCCAGACTCCCCCTCATATTTGGGAATAATCTCCACCAGGTCCACTACCTTAATTGCCTCTAGTACGCTTGTTGTTGCCATTGCTACGGGTTCTTTTTCTACCTGCATTATTTCTAGACCTATTACTCTTGAAATCTCGGTCTATCTTACTTATTCGCAATTCTTATTTATAATACTTAGCTTAATATTTTAGTGTTGTAATTTACTCCTAAGTATTATGTGTGTTCTTATTTACTACGTGTTCTGCTGGTTATCTCAATGTTATTCTTATCTTCTCTTGTTGTTATAGTGTAGTGGCTTCGTGAGTTTCCGTGTGGAGACTTGGAGTTCTGCAATTAATTAGAGTAAGTAAATCTTCTCTCATTTGATTTCTTTTCTTGAAAGATCATAGCAACAATGGATTTAATATTTATCACTATTTCTTGCCATCAAATCTAAGCTTGTCGTTTTCATCACCAACATAATTGCTTCAACAACGGAACCTAGCATGCTGAAGCTAGCTGCTCAGCTGTGAGATAAAGCTTCACAACTAATTGCGGACAGTCATTGCAAGTTCTTTTCTTTATTTCCTCTATACCACTCCTGGCCTTATAATTGACTTCTGTCATCCCTACGCTAAGCGATCACTCTATGCAATACAGTGTGCCGCCTAATACGTGTGAATGACCATATTGTGTAATTTATACATTCCTTTCGTTGTTCTACTCTTTCCACCTTCATGCTAAACGACGACCGCGTCGTCCAATACATGCCGACGGATTCTTCTATTATTTCCCAATATTACCTCGAATTAGCACTTCCCTTGCTAAACAGTCGCCCTGTGCTCTACAGTTCGCCGTTTAAGGGGGGAAATACAATTAGAAGGCCTGAAATGAGGGCTATCTTTGGGAGTGGATTGCAAGTAGGGTATTAAATGGGTAGGGTATTGAGCAATAAAAATCAGTCAAGTTGTTAAAAAAATATTTTAATTAAGACCTTTTATGATCAATAATGTGGAGTCGTGTTTTTAGGGAAGGACTTTGCGCCGTGCAGTCTCCAGGTCCAGGATCGCGACTTAAACAAAAAACACCAACTGGGCTTTAAACTTAAAGGTACAGCGCACACCATGAATTATTTCCTATTTGAAAAAAAATTTTTACATAAAAAAATTTGAGGTTAAAAAAAATGTTTAAAAAAAAACACTTTTTTTCGACTTTTTCGTAAAAAAACACATGTTATAACAAACAAATATGAAAAGCCGTTATATTCATGGTGTGGAGAATTTAATTTCAAACATAATGCAAAAAACCGCATTCGATTAAAATAAAATCTCTGACCTGTACATTGCACGGCGACTTTGAAAACACGACTTTTCAGGAGAAGCGTTTAAAGTTTACTTTTGTGCATGTCCGCCATATGACACACCCTCACTAAATTGCTTATAACTTTGAAAATAAGTACCGGACGGCTTTATGCTTTTAAAGGCTTATTCCCAGACATATTTAGAGTACATTGAGCCAAAAAAATATTTTTCGAAAAAAAAAAAATTTCTAATTGTATTTCCCCCCTTAATACAATTGAAAGCCCAACCGAAATAAAATTTTCACCAATTAAATGACACAGTGCTCCTTTTTGAATAATATTCGTTAGTCATTATTTACTTGTTTTGTTACCTCTAACTCCACTCGGTGCCCGAGTTTGTTCGATCGAACCGTTGCGTATCAAACATTGAACCGCAACCGTCGTCGATCGAACCTCTCGACCGGACCACTCAGTGCGCATCGACTCATCGACCTGCAGCTAACGCCGCTCGAAATGCTCGACCCGCAACCGCCGTTGATCGCACCGACCTACTCAACGCCGAGCTGTTGGTACCCATTAGGGTGGAGCCAAAAATTTTTTTTTTAATTTTAATATTCCTGTATTATTAATTGATGATACATAGTTTTAAAAGTAATTATGCAAAATTTTAGTTTTCTCAATATATATCTTAAGGTGGCACATTAGGTTTAAAGTTTTGAAATAATGCAATTTTTGACATTCACTTACATATATGATAAATTGAAAACGATATATGTACCTATTTATCAATTTTAAACATAAACAATAAAATAATAAATGAAATCTTGATAAATTAACAAAATAAATTTTATTGCTGAAAATCAGTAGTTTCGGGGCGCTCATTAACTCGAAAATATTGAGATTTGATGTCAAAAACAGGTATGTCTTGTCGGGCTTTTATTCTTGTTCGAATGAATCCATCTCTAGCTTCTGGTCCACAAACTGCTAACGAAGCCTCCGTTACTAGCTTGACACATCTTTCGACAGCCTGAGTGTGGCAAGGATACTTTTTGAAATCCATCAAAGCTCCTGAAGTAATCAGGTTTGAAATTTCTGTGTCGCTATATTTCATTGTCATAGAAGGTTCTGTAATCTTTTCTTTCGTCCAATCTATTAACTCATAATAAGTAGATGCGTCACCCTTATTTCTGGGACTCGAAATTCGCGAACCTTCATTCCTTTGGTCTCTCGTCGTGCTTTTAACACTCTTCGAAGAGCCAGCTCCCTTATGTGAGACACATCATCTTGCAACATAGCCAGCAACAAATTCTCTGGGTGTGCGAAGAATGAATTTCTTTGAATAGTTTTCAGTACAATACTTTTCAGGTTATGTGGTAAATACTGACATCTTTTAACCATGTAAAAAACATGAATTGGACCATATTTACATGATGATTTTGTCTTAATGTCGAACCAAGTTGGTGCATAATCTTTCATAATGAAAGTCGCGAGATCGCTCAAATTCTCATGGCTTAGCTTTTCCAATATATAAACGGAGAGTCCAGTTTGCGCAAGTCAACCATCGGGAATGTACCAGTTTTCCTGGGTCTTTGCTAGCTAAGTTGAGCGACACCGAACCAGAAGAAATTGCGGTGCAAATGTCAAACAGATATTTTTGATCACTACTTAGCAAATTAGGATTTAAAGGTGGCAATTCTGTGGAAATGGCTTCTTATTCCTTCACTTTAAAATCCAGGCACTTAGCTAGCTGTATCGCCAGAAAAACTATTAGGGCCTGTTATTGTTCCATCTAAACTGGAAAATAACTGTCGAAATGGTAATTCATTTGCATGTAACAAGCACACAAACCATTGCAATGTGCGTTTCAGGTGTTTCTCTAGTAAAACAATAACTCCATTTTTATGTCCTGTATTCGCAGCTGTGCCATCGCAACCAACACACATTAAAGATGTTTGATATTCGAATTTACCTTCAAGAAATTCAACAATACTCTTTTCAATCGTCGTCGCTTTCCCAGAATCAATGGAAAGATGTCCAATGTATTCAGAATCTGGCTCTGATAATATTGAGATGTGTTCTTCTGTGACAGTCTTACGATGCAATGTATTGTCTGTGGTTGTTATCACTAAGGTGTTGTCTTTTCGACCGTCTAAGTAAACAGCCCGTAAAGGTTTACTAGCAATAACACTCTGCAAATCTTGGCGTACTTCTTTTCGCTCTCGACGTATTTTGCTTCGGTCTATAACTTGATTTGCGTTTTTTTTGCTGATTACATTTTAATCGACCAATGCAGCGCTCGCAATAAATGCCGCAGATCGATCGGAAATTCACGTTACATCGCACGCTGAAGCTAGATTTTGCAGCTTACCTCTCATCTGCTGAGTTTCACTTGGGTATTGTTTAGAGGTTTCTTTTTCTGTAGACATAATATAATCTTCATCAGATTCTGTTACTGTAGAAGAACTGTCAGACATCCCAACTATATTTGAAGCAGATGAAGAAGTACTAGGAGCACACATGGATTTTTGCATCCCTGACCAGTGGTCATACTTCCTAATTTCGCCTCGCTGGATAGATTGAGTCATCACCTTGTCAACAGTCCCTATATACATTTTGCGATCAGTGCGTTGGTCGTGCAAGAATAATTCTTCAGCAACAGGCACTTTAGTTAGACATTTGCATACTTCTCTAGATATACATTTACATGTTCCGATGTCAAATAACTTTTTTAGAGAATCTTCATAAAATTTTTGTTCCTTGGAGTCATTACGCAGTTTTTTTACACCTTTATACTTGTTGTAATACACAATCAATCTTGCGACAACTTGTTGATGACTAACTGTAGGGATAGATGCTTTAGCCCATATATCGGTAGCAATTGTTTCACAAACATCTTTGATTGAAGGATCTTTTCCATTATTCGACTCTAGTAGATCGTTTCTGTGCCATAAGTAATATTTAATCACATCATTATACGTCGGTAGCATATTACCACTTAATTTTTGTGGATCGCCAAAGAAGGGACACCTCAAATCTTTTCGAGTTTTTGGCATTTTGTAACACTTTACTTCCTATTTTCTTTTCGTCGCCACAAGCAATTAATTGCATTTACTTCAAATAAAACCGATTTATATACGAGACATCGGAGCCACTTAAGCTTAAAAATTAAAAATTAAAAATTAAAGTTTTTTGTAAACTTCCTTCAAGGTGCGTGTTAATTCGAGTACAGTTCCAGTTATTATCCCGATATAAATTGATACTTTGTAATTAACGTTGAGATTATGAAATGTGCTTTTTATTTTTCTTGTTCTTATTGTCAAGTGACAGTGTTGACTAATTTTAATGTAATTGTGTAGGGCTCCCAACACAATTAATACAAAAGTAAAAGCGCAGGAGGCGCGATTGAATTCAAATGGTGGAATGGTGAAGCAGTGCGCCACCTGAAGATTAAGTCCTAGGTGTCTTATTTTTGGTATGAACAGAGGTTTAACTTAGGATCATCGACTGATAATACAGGAAATTTGAAAAAAAAAAAAAATTTAATTTTTTTTTGCTACTTTTGCTCCACCCTAGTACCCATGACTAAGTCGACGCTTAATAATTTCTGTTAATCAACTTGACCTCTTTTCTTTTTCGGCTGCATCACCATTATTCAGTTCACTCATAATCGCCTACTTGTAACGAATCACACTGTTCACGATTATAATCCTCTCATTTTTCATTTATTATTTCTTCCTAGCTGATATCATATCCACTAGTTTTACTCTTATCTATTTTCTTTTCCACGGGTGCGATTCGAT